CGGCGTGAGCTTCAATGGACTCCAGAGGATGGTAGAGGACAGGAAGGCCTGGAGGAACCTTGTCCAAGGGGCCGCGATGGGTTGGACACAACTTCACAACGAACAACAACAACAAAAGGGAAAGTAAGTGAATACCAGCCTTGTTGGAATGTTCTCCTGGCGAGAAAGTCACTCAGGAGAACTTAGAATAATAGTAAAACTCACTGTGAAGCAGTATATAAATCTAAGTGCTATTGCTATCTATGTCTGTCTATCTATCTATCTCTCTGTCTCTCCCTGTTTATCTATCTATATCTATTTATATATCTATCTATATATCAATCTATAACTATCTATATGTCACGGTGGCGTAGTGGTTACACTGCAGGCTACTTCTGCTGCCTGCCGGCTTCCTGCAAGCTGCCTGCAGTTTGGCAGTTCAAATCTCACCAGGCTCAAGGTTGACTCAGCCTTCCATCCTTCTGAGGTGGGTAAAATGAGGACCCAGATTTTGGGGGCAATATGCTGACTCTGGAAATCACTTAGAGAGAGCTGTAAAGCGGTATATAGGTCTAAATGCTATTGCTATCTATGTCTGTCTGTCTATCTCTGTCTCTATCTATCTATCTATCTATCTATCTATCTATCTATCCATCCTATCTATCTATATCTATCAATCTATCTATCTATCTATCCATCCTATCTATCTATCTATCCTATCTATCTATCTATCTATCTATCCTATCTATCTATCCATCCTATCTATCTATATCTATCAATCTATCCATCCTATCAATCTATCTATCTATCTATCTATCTATCCATCCTATCTATCTATATCTTCAATTTATCTATCTATCCATCCTATCAATCTATCTGTCTGTCTGTCTGTCTATCTCTCTGTCTCTCATGCTTATCTATCATCTGTCTGTCTATTTATCTATCTATCTATCTATCCATCCTATCTATCTATATCTATCAATCTATCCATCCTATCAATCTATCAATCTATCTATCTATCTATCTATCTATCTATCTATCCATCCTATCTATCTATATCTATCAATTTATCTATCTATCCATCCTATCAATCTATCTATCTATCCTATCTATCTATCCATCCTATCTATCTATCTGTCTGTCTGTCTGTCTATCTCTCTGTCTCTCACTTGCTTATCTATCATCTGTCTGTCTATTTATCTATCTATCTATCTATCTATCTATCTATCTATCTATCTATCTATCTATCTATCTATGAATGCATTATTGCAGACTAACTCTGCCGACTGTCAGGAGTTCAATCCTGACCGGCTCAAGGTTGACTCAGCTTTCCATCCTTCCAAGGTTGGTAAAATGAGGACCCAGATTGTTGGCGTTTGCAAGATGCTGACTCTGTAAACCGCTTAGAGAAGTCTGGGAAGCCCTGTGAAGTGGCATATAAGTCTTAAGTGCTATCGCTATTACGAATTCAGTTCTCGGCTCCTTTTTAAGCTTCCTCAACTTGTTCCCGACATTGTGCAGCTTCTGTTCACCAAATTTCTCCTTCCATTTTATTAGTTTCTTTCGCCACCAGGGGGCACAGCCAGCACAATAGACAAGGAACAGCCAAAACAGACAGCAGGAATTCACAATTACGGATAGATAGTCCCCGATTTACAACAGTTCATTTAGTGACCGTGCGAAGTTACAACAGCACTGGGGGAAAAAAAGCAACGTGTGACCGTTTTTTCACACGACCATTGCAGCATCCCCCAGGGTCCACGCGATTTAAATTCGGAGGCTTGACCGCTGTCTCACATTTATGACGGCTGCACCCTTCCAGGGGGGAGGGAGGGGGGGTCGTCCCTTGATCCCCTTTTTACGACCTTCTGACCAGCAAAAGTCAAATGGGGAGATATGGGATTTATTTTATCAATGGCTAGATAATAAAACATGGAAACGAAATATGAAACGTGAAATGAGTGCTATCGTATAATATTTGAAAATAATTTTTATGAAACGATAAAGCCATAGTTAAATAAATGATTTTTTTTAAAAAAAAAGTCTTGAGTGTATTTGAGTGTCAGTCCCACCAGTCTATGTTACACCCCTCCAACCTCAGTTGTTCCCGTGTCTTCAGTCTGCCCTGAGTATCCAAAATATCTTCGTAGGTCAAGACCTTCTCTCCTTTATTATTTTTATTTTATTTAATTTTTATACCGCCCTTCTCCAGCAGGACTCAGGGCGGTGAACAGCCGAGATAAAACAGAGCATACAAAATTTAAAAACAGTTTAAAAGGAATTAAATAATTTCGGCCCACAATTTAAGACATTTAAATAACGTCGGGTATACCAGACGGGCCTCCTGAGTCGAAATCCAACATGGTATTCGTAGTCATAAAACGGGGCAAAACTCAACAACATTTCTCACTTAGCAACATACATTTTGGGCTCAGTGAAAGACTGGCCCTAAGTCCCCTTTTTCCGGTGCCGTCATAACCTTGAACCGTCGCTAAACGGATCGGTTGGACGATCCGTAACGCATCGCACCACGTTGGTTAATGATAACCTTGGTGACCTTCAAAAGCGAACCTAATGCCTTATACGGGCAGTCCTCGGCTTACGGCCAACCATGGAGCCCAAATTGCTGTCACTAAGCGAGACAGCTGTTAAGTGAGTTTCTGTCCCCTCCCTCTTTTACGACCTCTCTTGCTACAGACGTTAAGTGAATCCCTGCCGTTGTAAAATTAGCAGTACAGGTCGTTAAGCGAATCTGATTCCGTCCTCCCCCTCCCATGGACTTTGCTTGTTGGAAGGTCATAAAAGGAGAACACGTGACACACACACACACCCCGACGGACATCGCGACCGTCGTAAATACGAGTCGGGCCAAGCGTCCGAATTTTAACCGCGCGACCTCAGAGTGGCTGCCGCCGTCACAAGTGCAGAAAACGGCCCTAAGTCATTAGATTTCGAACGGTCACTAAACGAACCGTCGTAAGTCGAGGACGGCCTGGGGTGGCGGAAAGGAAGCAGAAGCGAATGCATTTGGAAAACCAAGGTGGGAGGGCAACAGTTTTCTCTAGTTTCCTACAACTGGGTTTGTGAGGGGGGCACCGGCCGGATTTGCATGCAGCTCTAGGCGCCGATGGCGTTGCGCGGATAGGAAGCCGGAGGATGGCCAAAGGCCAACCGAGGCTGGATTTGGTGAGAATGCCGAGCGGTTTGTCTGATGGCTGCGCGTGATTGACACTTACAAATTACCAGCCCCGAGTGTCAAGTCTTTGACCCCTGAGTAACGTCTTCGGCAAGCTTTGAGATTTGCCTGCATTTTGTCATCTAATTACTACAAATCCCTTGGAAATGCACTGGCTGGTGAACGCTTGAGGCTGGGTGCCGGATTTTCGCCCGGGTGCGCCTCAGCCTGGCAGATCTGGTCTTTCCTCCTTCCTTCCTTCCTTCCTTCCTTCCTTCCTTCCTTCCTTCCTTCCTTCCTTCCTTCCTCCCTTCCTCCTCTGTTTCACTTTCATTCTCCTCCCTCCCTCCCTTTCTTCCTTCCATCCTTCCTTCCTCCCTCCTCTGTTTCACTTTCATTCTCCTCCCTCCCTCCCTTTCTTCTTTCCTTCCCTCCTTCCTTCCTTCCTCCTCTGTTTCACTTTTATTCTCCTCCCTCCCTCCCTTTCTTCTTTCCTTCCATCCTTCCTTCCTTCCTCCTCTGTTTCACTTTTATTCTCCTCCCTCCCTCCCTTTCTTCTTTCCTTCCTTCCTTCCTTCCTTCCTTCCTTCCTCCCTTTCTCCTCTGTTTCACTTTCATTCTCCTCCCTCCCTCCCTTTCTTCCTTCCATCCTTCCTTCCTTCCTCCTCTGTTTCACTTTCATTCCCCTCCCTCCCTTCCTCCCTTCCTTCTTCCCTTCCTCCTGTTTCACTTCCATTCTCCTTCCTCCCTCCCTTTCTTCCTTCCATCCTTCCTTCCTTCCTCCTCTGTTTCACTTTCATTCTCCTCCCTCCCTCCCTTCCTTCTTTCCATCCTTCCTTCCTCCCTCCTCTGTTTCACTTTTATTCTCCTCCCTCCCTCCCTTTCTTCCTTCCATCCTTCCCTCCTCCCTTCCTCCTCTGTTTCACTTTCATTCTCCTCCCTCCCTTTCTTCCTTCCATCCTTCCCTCCTCCCTTCCTCCTCTCTTTCACTTTCATTCTCCTCCCTTCCTTCCTTCCTCCCTTCCTTCCTGGGAGAAACAAATGCTCTAGGATGCTGGCCTGGCTTGAGGGGTGTCACCCTCACGGTGGACAGTGGGGTCTCTCAGCAGTAGAGAATTGGGCTGCTGGTTTCTTGGGTTTTTGCAGCGGATTGGTGGGACGTCACAATTGTGTTTTGTTACTTCAAGACATTTGATGTTAGGACATCCTGGATATTGGTCCCTCCAGAGGGATTAAATGCAGATTTGTAACCATCTCTCCCTCTCCCTCGTCCTCTCTCTGTCTCTTCTCCCTCCTCCCTGCCCCCTTTTTTCCCCACACCCTCTTCCTCTCTTTCCCTCCCTCTCTCTCCTTGCCTTTCTGTCCCCCTCTCTCTCATCCCTCCTTCCCCTATCCCTTTCGCTTCCTCCCTCTCCCCCTCTCTCCTCTCCCTCACTTCTCCTTCCCTACCCCTTTCACTCCCTCCCTCTCCCTCTTTCCCTCCCTCTCTCCTCCTCTCTCTCTCACCCCTCCTTCCCTACCCCTTTCGCTCCCTCCCTCTCCCTCTTTCTCTCCTTCTCTCTCTCACTCCTCCTTCCCTACCCCTTTCCCTCCCTCCCTCTCCCTCTTTCCCTCCCTCTCTCCTCCTTCTCTCTCACCCCTCCTTCCCTACCCCTTTCGCTCCCTTCCTCTCCCTCTTTCCCTCCCTCTCTCCTTCTCCTTCTCTCTCACCCCCTCCCTACCCCTTTCACTTTCTTTCTCTCTCTCTCCCTCTCTCCTTCCCCTGCTGCTTCTCCCTCCATCCTCTTTCCCTCTCTCTCTCTCCTTCTCCCTCTCCCTCCCTCCCTCTCTCCCTCCTTCCCTTCAGAGCCGAACGATAATCAAGGAGACCACGGGAAGACAACAAATATTTTAAATTCCAACCGGATCTCTTAAAAGAAGATGCTTTAGGACAAATAGCCAGAAGGAAACCATCGTGCTTTAAATTTCTCCTTGTCACCTGCCAATCTGGGAAACCAGTTTTGGATACCACCCCATCAAACAAAACTTCATAACTATCTAGCAGGGAACAGTATAAGTATTCCTCCCACCCACCCCCCTTTTTTAAAAAAATAATGTGTATGGGTTTTGGGTGGGGGGGCAATGTACATAATTGCTCTGTAAAGAATTTTGTGAATGGACCCATCCGAATAATAATCTAAAATAACAATTCCTTCCTTTTTGATGTCTGGTTTCTCTCCATTTTCCCCATTTAACCTTTTTATTCCACCAGGCGGGCCTGGCCTAATCTCTTTCCCTCTTTTCTTTTTAAACATGCAAATTTAAATCTGTTTTTAAATGACTCGGGTGTTTTAATTTGTCTGGGCCAAATTGTTTCATTCGATTTTATCCTGTTTTTAAATTTTGTATTTATGTATTTTACTGTTGGGCTGTTCACCGCCCAGAGTCCTTCGGGAGTAGGGCGGTATACAAATCAAATAAAGATAAAAGAAGATAAAGATAAAACTGGTCATATAAACCTCCAAGCGGCCTCAACGACCCTCTAAAAAGGATGCAAATGACCAGTTCTGTCTGCAAGGAGTATCAGTCCTTCCATTTCCCCACCATCCAGTCCAGAGCTGAAGAAGCTTCTGGGATGAGAAACGAAACGTCTTCAAAGAAAAACAAATCCTGAGCAGTGGTGGGTTGTGAAACCGGTCGGATCGAGCAAACCTGTAGCGGCGGCAGTGGGAAGCTCCACCCAGCCGCCCGGATGTCTCTGCGCAAACGGTAGCAAACGAAATCGAAACCCGCGGCCGTTCCTGAGCCATTTGCTGTGCCCATTAGGCAGCTCTGGGCTATGCAGTCTCTTCTCTGATCATCTGGAAGCTTTCAAGAAGAGACTGGACTACCAAAACGGCGTACGGTCTCCTGCATGGGTGTAGGGGTTGGACTAGATGACCTACAAAGTCCTTTCCAACTCTGTTAATCTGTTTATTTTATTTATTCATTTTATTGAATTTGTATACCGCCCTGTTAATCTGTTAATCCCAGTCTCCCAAGGCCTTTCTCGCATTACATCACATCACATAAAAACCATGGCAGTTTTTTTTTTTTCCAACCTGCCCAGACGAAATCCTTTCCCCTCCCCCCCCCAAATTTCACGGAATGGATTCCTGGTCATCGATTTGGGGACCCGACCGAACCAAGCTAACGGGTGCCTAACTTAACGCCTCTGGCTGGAGGAGGCAGACGTCAGAACGGGGAGGGCGGGGTGTTAAAAACCCGGCAAGAATGCTCGCCTGCAGAATCGGGACTGTGAGAAGTAGGCAGGCCCTGCGTCACAAAATGAAGCAAAGTCACAGTGCAGGGAATCCGCACGGACGTCTTAGAATCCAGTTACCGCCTCCCGAGGTGTGACATCGACGACTCTCACCGGGCCTTAAAGAAAGACAGCTGAATCTCATTCTCACCTCCGGCCAAGCCATGCTGGTGAGAGGATTTTCTCCTTGAAACATTCAACGCCCTTCCCCCATTTTATATATATATATATATATATAAATATGAAAGTGGGGAGGGGGGCTCGCGAACGGCAGAAACTTGTCCAGGCAGCTTTAGAAGACCGAGAATTAAGAAAAGAGGTGATTTTCTTCGGGAGGTGTGAAGGAAAGGAAGCGTAAAAACGGATCTTGAGAAGAGCAGAAATTGCTAGATGATTCCAGAAGGCTCCGTTGGCGAGAGGAAGACTGGTGGAGTGTGGATGAGAAAGACAATGAAATGTGGAGGAGGGGGCAAGTATAGGTTTCTGGAACAGGTCTTCCCAACAGTGGCAACTTTTGAAGATGGGTGGACTTTTATTCCCAGAATCCTTTCCGACCACCATTGTTGTGAATTGGGGAAAGGTTCTCTACCGTTTGAGGTGGGACACTGGTCTGTACGGTTTCACATTTCTACCCTAATCCTAACCCTTTTATAAGGGACGCGGTGGCTCGGCGGCTAAGACGCTGAGCTTGTCGATCGAAAGGTTCGGCAGTTCAGCGGTTCGAATCCCTAGTGCCGCGTCACGGGGTGAGCTCCCGTGACTTGCCCCAGCTTCTGCCAACCCAGCAGTTCGAAAGCACGTCAAAAAAAAAAATGCAAGTAGAAAAATAGGGACCACCTTTGGTGGGAAGGTGACAGCGTTCCGTGCGCTTTTGGCGTTGAGTCATGCCGGCCACATGACCACGGAGATGTCTTCGGACAGCGCTGGTTCTTCGGCTTTGAAACAGAGATGAGCACCCACCCCCTAGAGTCGGGAACGACTAGCACAGATGTGCGAGGGGAACCTTTACCTTTAATCCTTTTATACATCCTTGAAAATAGACTGTGGGTTCTAATCCTGTCTTTGGGCCAGTCATTGCTCTTTCTGAAATTGTTGCCAATCATAACTGACATCTTCCTGTAACCCTCCTCCTCCTCCTCCTCCTTCTTCTAACTCTTCCTTCTCCTCCTCCTCGTCGTCTAACTCTTCTTTCTCTTCTTCTTCTTCCCCTTCTTCTTCTTCTTCCTCTATTTCTAACTCTTCCTCTTCTTCTACTTCTTCTACTTCTAACTCTTCCTCTTCTTCTACTTCTACTTCTTCTAACTCTTCCTCCTCCTCCTCCTCCTCCTCCTCCTCCTCCTCCTCTTCCCCTTCTTCTTCTTCTTCTTCTTCTTCTTCTTCTTCTTCTTCTTCTTCTTCTTCTTCTTCTTCTTCTTCTTCTTCTTCTTCCTCCTCCTCCTCCTCTTCCAACAATTGGGGGTGGAGTGAGATTGAATTTCAACAGCACCATGTTGGACTCGATGGAGAACTCTGCCACAGATGTCTTTTAGCACTCCATAAAACATTGAGTTTTGCTTTTACTGCAGTGAAACCAAGAACTAATTAGTGCTCCTTTCTCCAGTGAGTAAAACCCAAATGTCACACCATACTACAACTATTAAATCCCAAGGAAGCTGTCTCTCGGCGTGGGAACAGTTTCGTCCGCAGCCTTCGTATCGGGTTTCCCTGTGGCAACTGGCAAGACTCTGTGATTTCAAGATGGCAGTTCAATGGACCAACACGCCATCACGAGAATTTAAAGGGTCGCCACCTGCCAAGGCAGCACAGAATAATTCTCATTGGCCATCAAGAGAAGTGACATTAGTTCCTCTCTGGGTTTGTTAGTTTGTTTGTTTGTCCAGTGGGAACTTTTCCACATCTTACCCAACCTCAGCGTTGAAAATAATGTCTCCAAATTGAAATGTGTTTGACATTAGTGTCCAGGCTCCATTCTTTCCACCTCCATCAAAATGTTGTTGTTTCGGAAGGAAAAATAAAATAAATAAAAACGGAAGCCCAACGTCAGGGTTCCAAGGAACACCCCCAACAAAAGAAAACTCCGAGGTTTGAAGTTCCTCAAAGTTCCATTTTATTAGAGATGTCATATTGGCACATCTGGGAAAAACCCGAATCTGAAACCAAATCCAGGTTTTCTCCACCCAAAGGAAAGTCCAAGTCCCTGCCCAGCACCCACATGTCCACCACCTGGTCCAATCAAAGCACCGTCCCAACTGGAGATGCCTCCCAGTTCCAGCCTTCCAGGTGCAGGGCACGATGTCCTTGACTCCTTGAGAAAAGAATGTTATTATGACTATATATATATCACTCTGGCTCCATACAATCCCCCCTCCCAGTTTCCCACAGCAGTAAATATGGCAGGCCTGAAGGTCCAATGAAAAGGATGGCTTCCAGTCCTGACACCCAAGTTGATTCAGGGCAGGGGTGAAATGCTGCAAGGTCTGTTACTGGTGCACTTCGCTGCCGGTTTGCTGCGCGGGCATGTGCAGTGCGCACCAAATGCACTGCATGCACAGTGCGCAACAAACGCACGCTTTGCTCACATGCATACCGCAGGCACTACCGCGCAGCGCTGAAAAAGGAGGTTTAAGAAGCCTTTTCTAAGTTAAGTAGAACAGCGAGGGGGGGATTTTTTTAACCATTTTTTTACTACCGGTTCGTGCAAACCGGTAGCTTTTTATTATTACCGGTTCTCCCGAACCGGTCTGAACCAGTAGCATTTCACCCCCGATTCAGGGGTTGCAAACTGCAGATGTACCCAAGTTAAGGGAATGTGTTCTTGTTTAGGCAAAACCTTAGCTTCCCGCGGTGTCCTAACACAACCGCTAAAGAGATTGTCATTGTCAGGACAAATAACAATATTTAGTATTTCGCATACAGATGGCAACAGCGAGACTCTTCATCACACAGCCTGAGAAACGAGGGCAGGTTTCCAGCTGAAAGGGGGGGAGGGGGGAAAGGACAGGGCGCAACATCTGCCTGTTAGAGAGAGGTTCATTGAGAGAGATGTAAACTGGTGATGTCCATCCCAAATTCCTGATGGGTGAGAGCCCTGAATTCTGAAGGACCTCATCTTCATGTTCTGCCCCAGCTACGGACCCCAAAGAACGCAGCACACACAAACTCTATACAAAGCTTATTTTAGTCAAATAACTTAGTCTTTATCATTCAAAGGCTGTTAATGAACTGTCTTAACAGCCTACCAGAATTCTAAGATAAGGTAATCACAGTCTTACTAGAGTTGGCAGAAGCAATTTTGCAGACGCGAAGGAGAGTGAACTAAAGTTGTTCCCTACAGCTTGTTGCAAGTGGCATTCCTTCTTAAATAGGCGAAGGGAGTGGCCAATTAGCCCCAAGCCTTACTCTCGAGGAGACCTCCTCCTGAGGAGCCACTCCTGCCTTTTGGCAGCTCTGCGCGCCCGTGCATTGAGAAGAGGCTCTTCCTCTTCATCCTCTTCATTTAATGGAGGTTCTGAAGGCCCTGGCTGAATCCCCGCCTCTGGCACCACATCTTCTCCAGCCTCCTCACTGTCTGACTCGAGTGCCAGCTGCACAGGCTGCTGGCGCAGCACCACACCAGCCTCCTCGTTGTCGGAATCAGCTACAATCTGCACAGGCCGCTGACGGGCCACAACACTTCATCTCTTTCTCTCTCTCCATCTGAACTTCTGAAGAAAACCATTCATTCATCTTGATTGGGGAGCAAACGCCTGTGATGGATTGCAAAACAGTACAGGTAGTCCTTGATTTATGACAGTTATGCTTAGTGACCGTTCCAGGTTGACGACGGCACTGGAAAAAAGGGACTCGTCGACTGTTTTTCACAGTTCCGTCCTTTGCCGCCATCCCCACGATCACGCAATCAAAATTCAGGCGCTTGGCAACTTGACTCCTATTGATGACATTCGTAGCGTCCCGTGGTCACAGGATCCCCTTCGGCGAACCTTCCAACCAGTGAAGTCAATGGGGAAGCCGGATTGGCTCAACGACCATGTTCCTAACCT